ATGATAAACCAAATAATAAAAACAAAAAATTCAACTCTTCAGACAGTAACAAATACAAATTAAACAATTTCATATTTCTTTAACAATTTTTCCTTGATCTTATTCTTAAAGGAATTAACTGATCCAATGCTCTTATAGTCATCCTTCAGATCATGCATCTGTCCTTCAAGTTTGTTTTGATTTTTGGTTTAACAAACATTTGTAATCCCTTCAAATTATAGCAMCTTTCCCTCTTAACAAAATGTGATTGGATGTTTGACGGCAACACATTTCTATGAGCCTTATACATAACCTGCAGAATGTTATAATCAACCAACTCATGAAATTTTAACAATTTTAATTGATGAAACAATATGCTAGATGGGTGATAGTAATGCCTTCTTGTAATAATTCTTATGGCCCTTTTTTGTAAAATAAAAATAGGATTAGTAATGGTTTTACATGCATTTCCCCAGACTTCAATACAATAAATCAAATGTGGATCAATTATTGCATTATATAGTGTAAATAGTGCTTTATCATTAAATAACTCCTTAACTTTATACATAATTGCAATAGATTTTGCCATTTTTGTTCTTAAGTAATTTATATGAGGTCTCCATGTCAGTTTTTAGTCAATGATGACTCCCAAAAACTTGACCTCATTGACTCTACAGATCTCAACACCCTCTACTCTAAACATCAGTTGTTTTCTTTCTATTACTAAATATCATGTGATTTGTTTTATCCCAATTTAATGATAACTTATTAAGTTTAAACCAATTTTGTACTTTTTAAATTTCATTTACATCATTTCCAACATCTGTTCTATGTTATTACCCAAGCAAAAAAATGTGGCGTCGTCTGCAAATAAAACACATTTAAACAACCCTGATACATCAACCAAGTCATTAATATATAGGAGAAATAACTTTGGTCCCAATATAGAACCCTGTGGAACCTCATATACAGCGGGTAAAATAAGTATTGAACACGTCACCATTTTTCTCAATAAATATATTACTAGAGGTGCTAATGACATGAAATTTTCACCAGATGTTGGTAACAACCCAAGTGATCCATACATACAAAGAAATCAAACCATAAATGTCACATTTATGGTTTGATTTCTTTGT